AAACCACTTAAACTGCTTTATATGTACATTTTGGGAATAATGACTGGTTTGATTATGGCAGTATATAAGTAGGAGCAAAGAATTGGTATTGGAAGTGGGAAAGTCTTCTCCAATTTTAATGGTCTATAGAGACTAGGATTTAACAATTTTTCTCTTAATAGCTATTTTTTTTATGGGCCAAGAGATTAAGAGGTAGAACTGGGGCTGCCTTTTCATTTAGGGTGGTAGGTACTCAGGACCCAGAACTGGCTACATAATTTGCAGGGTTCAGTGCAAAATGAAAATGTAGTGGCTCATGTTCAGAAATAATTAAGAATTTCAACACAGTGACAGCAGAGCATTAAGCGAAGTGTGGGACCCCATGCAATTGCACAGGTCGTATACCTGTGAAGTCTGTCTTGTAGGCACTTTATGCAAAGAGGAAAGTGTACACTGAAGAAATAAGAATTTGGCTTCTCAACAAATGGCTTCCCCGACCCCCATCCCTATTTTATACAAACTGACATGTTTCTTCTCCCCCCAAAAAAGCCATGCTTCTTTTTCAGTTGGGGCTGAGGGAAAGACAGTGCTGTTTGCACAGTCTTTTGTATGCTTGGGGCTTAGGAATCTTGAACGATTAATGGCAGCAACTAGAACTGAGTTTATTTATCCATCTTACACCGTGTATCCCTTGGGACATATGCATCCTCTTCCCACTTCACTATTGCCACTACCGCCTCCACCACCAGCTTGTTAATGGTGGTGGAGTGATGGCTTAACCTCTTCATGTCGTTTTTATTCCCACAGTCTTCCTGAATGAGTTCATAGCTACTCTTCCCTACCCACCTTATACAGGCCAACTAGATAGAGAAGAAATTTTCTTCCCTCTAGTAGGGCTATACCGTGCGTCTTATTTTGGATATATATTACCTGGCCATTATATTACGTTTCACTTTACCCCAGAGGTGCCAACAACCAGTTAGGAAGGAAACAGATGAAATGGGGCTTTTAACTAAAGGGGCAGGAGAAGATGATTGCAAATAAAAATATTTTGGTGGTGAATGTTAATTTAGTTATGATGTGCTTCTTTACCACAGAAGCTTCAGATGTTTTTAAGAAATAAATCCTTATTCTTTGAGGTCATTTATGTAGTGAATTAAAAAGAAAATGAAATTCATTGAAGCAATTATTGTATATAATGGGCAGAGAGGTGGAAAGGGCGAAAGGACTTGTTTAATAATGTTAGAGCACAAAGTAAATTCTTTTTCTTCTATAGAAGAAGAACTATGTATAGAATTATGTATTATGTATAGAACTACATAATGTCTTAGAAAACACACTTGAATTTGTATCTGTTCTATTTGTTGATTTGCTTTTTCACTGATTTGGTTCAGTGCTTTAGACACATATATGTTGTCACTTGTATTTCATAGAATAGCAGTGTGGTATTCTTTTTGAGGGCTCATAAATGTGTTTCTCTCTCATTCCTATTTGATCAAAACAGCTGTTTTACTGAAAGGTATACTCTAAAACTTTTTATTTATGACCTTACAGTTCAATTCATTCTCCTTACAAGTAAAATACAGTATTCCCAGCAGCAATTTAGATCCTTTATAAATCAGATAACTGCAAAGGTTTTTTTTACAGTCTTCTAGTTAATACTGACCACTTAAACATTTTCTGCCACCCTGAATAGGAACCTTAGGAAGGTTTGCGTGACTGGGTTTGTTCCTTTCTAAAGAAGCAGTTTTACTCAAGGAGAAGAAAATTAACAATTTCTAAAATTAACCTAATATTTTTTGTAAATTTCTAATATAGAAACAATGTTGAATTTAAAATACTTTGGAACAGAAAAAAGATGTGTGTTTTTTGACACTGACAAATGTCAAAGCAAATAAAATTCTATCACAAAGAAAGGTGTTATATAAAGTTATCTTTTGGGCAGATTATTAATATAAACAGCTTTGTTAAACTTTTGGCTGTTTATCACAAATATCGTTGAGCCCCGTTATACTAAAACTGAATGTGTTAGATGGTCTGTTTTTAATATTCTAGTGACTCCTGGTACAGTCCAGAATAAAACTGCTTTTCCCTCTAGATATAGTAAAATCTGTTAAATCAGAAAATTTGTGTAATAGACGTGACTGTACATATTTTTCATTTAGTGGAACATTTTGTGTAGATTATCTTTTTCATATAGAGACTACCATATAGATGTGTCCCCTGTGTGAGCATATTAATAATATATTAAATACTTTTTTTTTTTTAGCAGATTTTTCTAAAATATTTGGGCAATGTTGCAGGGGTGAAAGTTGGATCTTGGTATTAGAAAAAATTATTCCTGTAAGGTGTATTCATGTTTTACCTTCTAAAATAAATAAGTGACATTTTAGGGAATAAGAAATTTAAAAGTGATCATGGAGATATTAAGACACTGAGGCATTTAGGTATAATTACCAGAGGTCTCAGGTTTTTCCAGTCCTTACTTTATGGAGAAGTTTTCAAGGATTCCCAGTGCATGTGGTTCTCTAAACTTACTTGGAACCCTGGATACTGGGGATTCTCTATCATATGCTGGCAGAGTTGTCCTACTTTCCAAAGTCATAATACCTTCAAATATTAGTTGATGCAGAAACTATGGCATTCTCATTTAAAATTTAGATCTAATCATGCATAAAATGTCCTAAACTTCAGAGTTTCTAGAGTCCATATAGTATCAAAAGTCAGAAAAATTTTTTTTCCTCTATTAAAGTCAAAAACATTTCTCCGTCTGAGAGTAAAAATGTCTAGTTCCATTTTTAAAGTTATCATGACATCTACATGTAACTTAAATGCTTTGTAACTGATAAAACATTCTTTTGCATACCCCATCACCCTCTGCCCTTCTCCCTCAATTTGCTTTACACACCTAATATTAGCATTCTGTGAACAAATTTTTAAATGATTGTTATAATATATTGTATTTGTATCCTATAGTAATTTATTTACATTTTTCAAGGAATTTGGATATAGTATGGCAATTTTGACAACCAGCAATCTCATCAAAGTAAGATTCTACCTGTAATCTCATGATATACCAGATGCTTGCTCTGTTCCACGTAACAGAGGCAGGGATTGTGTGTGGTTTACGTTATAGACAAGGAAAGAGTAGCTGACATCTAGCAGCATTTAGTCCTTTATGTTCCCTAAACTCTTTACTTCTACTGTATGAATTGCTTTAAAATCCACTTAAGTTTAAATTGCTCACCAAAGCGACTAGGAAAAAGAAGATGCTGATTACAAAGTATATGATACCTCACTCGTCCTACTGATTGTGAAGAACCTAGATTCTACACATAAGCTAGACTGATCAGTGAAGAATTTAAGTATGACTTCTAGCAACATATTCATTTAAACAAATGGTGCAGAGGTGTTCTGCAGGAATGTACCTATGTACCAGGCTCTTGACTGAGATAGCTAATGAGAACCTTATAAGATTTTTTCTATTCCAAATTTTGGTTGTTTAGCTTGGAATTAGCCATTCTTTAATATTTAACTTGACTTTCTGTAGTTCTTTACTTATTAGATTCTTCTTCTGAGGATAAGCAGAGAAAGACTGTGGGCCCTAATTTTACTTTTAAAGAGGCAGGTGACAGGAAGTAGAAACCAGTGGCTTGGATGAAATTTAGGCTTTTCATGGTTTTTAATTTTCTATATGAGATTTCTGTTAGCATTGCCACTTGACTACTGTAAGGAACTGTGTTTACTGGTTTTGTAATAGTAGCATCTATTCTTTTGGAATCTGGGCTTTGAACAACTCATTTCACAGAATCATTGAATAGCAGGTTCCTATTCTCTCTTACCTAGAATTTTTCCAGGAGATTTCACATGACAGGTTAACAAAAGAAAAGCCAATTTGGGTACCTCTTCTGTTACATTTGTTTCCCACCCCTTTGAATCCCTAGAGATAAACTCTTACCTTCTCTTCCTGCTAATAGACCAGCAGCACCCTGGAATACTGTCATCCCTTTGTCCAAAGGAATGGTGTGGTTGTATTCAAAGAACAATAAAATGTTATGTCCTCTCTATTCCTACCTGTAAAAAATATCTTTTTTTCTTTATTAAATTAAATTTTTTGGAATAAGTGATTGAAGGAAAAGTCAAGTAATGGAGAAATTTCAAGAACAGTTAGCACTAAAATTTTGGCTCACTTTAATATAAAAATCTTTTTTTCCCACTTTTTAATCACATTTTAAAAATAAGCTATAGGAAAAAAATGTAAATAAAAAAATGTAAAGAATAGTTAACATTAAACTTCTGGTCCGTCTGTGAGATAATCTGGATTTATATTTGTTTTCTAGTAAAATAAAACATCTGGTTGTACATGCAGTACATGTGCATGAGTTAAATACAGTACATGAGTTAAATGCAGTACATAAGTTAAATACAGTACATGAGTTAAAAAATGAAAGTTGAGTGTTTTTTTTACCCTTTCAAATATAGGACCAGCATATAATTTAGGAGCTATTTATTATTATAGAATTCAGAGTGAATTGCTATTAAATCGATTCTTCATTGAAGGTCTTATTACATTGTTGATTTTCCTTTACTAAGTTTTCAAAGCATATGAGACCTACTTAATGGAGCGGTAATCAAATGCAGACTTAATTTAATGATCTTAAAGAAAAGATTTTAATTTTCCTGGAAATAAGGAAGATTTAACCAGATGTTAACATAATGTATATATAATCATTATTGTAATAATTGACCAATTTAGTAATTCCAAGTTATTTAGTTACATTTTATCAGTTCTAGTTTGGTATGGTAAAGCATTATTTGAAAAAGCAGTACAGGAAGAATGTATGCAGATAATATTACTGCTGTTAGAGAACCAGCTGTGAGTTAGTGCATGCTTCAGGGAATACAAATGAATGCAGACTTTTTCTAACTTGATTTAGATGGTCTGACCTCTCTAGAAATATATGTATGTATGTATATTTTGGAATATATAAGAAATGTTATCTTTCTCTTCCCTTTTTTAGCCTTAGATTGTAAGCAAAAGAAATCAAGGTCAAGATCTGGAAGCAAGAAGAAAATGCTAACATTACCTCATGGTGCTGACGAGGTTTACATTCTCCGATGCAGGTATATGCCTATATTGTCAAATCTGCTCAGTTTCTTCAGATTTTGCTTTGACTCATATTAGCTATTTTATTTGAGATTTTTAATTTGTGGCAGAAGGTGCATTCTCAACAGTCAGGTTTTAAAGGAATTTGGGAGACAGGCTTAAAATCTCATTCAGCTCATAATATGCTGTACTTCAACAACTAATGAATGAAGTTTTGTTTTATTTGTTTGGTTGAATTTTATTTAGTTTGATTTTTTTTTAATTGTCTTGAGTTCCTGCTTATTGGGAACACGTTTTCTCTCCACTCATACTTCTAAGTATAGCTATAGAAACTCATTCACACCTCCTTTCATACTTACCCTCATGCAGTTTAAGGAATTCTGAATTGGGGAAGGGTCTTTGAAAAGAATGGTACATTTTGGAATTATAGTTGTTTTAAATGTTTTAAGATGTGTAGCTGTTAAGATCTTTTAATTAATTTGAACCTAATAGTAATATTCCCACCTCTACAAATATTGCTGGAGTTATTATAGCTGTTAAATATATGAGTTGGCCGTTTTGATATTGTGTTAAATGATTTTGACTTGATATGTATTTAGAATCTGTTGTCAAGTACTATCTCCAATATATGGTGAGGTTTATTTCTTAAGCTTATGAATTTTATGGGAATTGGTTTTAAGTAAAGGGAATTGATCATTTTAAGAGAACTGTTATCAACTTCTTCTATAGGTTTTGTGGCCTAGTCTTTCGTGGACCGTTGTCTGTTCAGGAAGACTGGATTAAGCACTTACAACGACACATTGTAAACGCTAATCTTCCAAGGACTGGAGCTGGCATGGTGGAAGTCACGTCACTACTTAAAAAGCCTGCCTCCATTACAGAAACTTCAATTTCTCTACTAATGGCAGAAGCAGCTTCATAGAACAAGGAAACTTTTTAAATAGCAAATTTGAATTGGATGTAAATTTGAAATTCTTTGTCTTTTTTTTTTAAAGCCACATTAAATTATCCATTTATAAATACTAAAGCAGGAAAATGGGGAAAAGTGAATTACAGTGACATCAGAGCAAATTGAGTACTTCAAACAGTAAGTAGTCTATATATTTTATATAGGGTGGAAGATGTGTTTTTAAGGTTTACTAAGTTTTGTCAATGAACTGTATTCACTCAATAAAAGATCAGTACATGTAAGCAGTCATTAATAAACTGTTGCACATGGATACTTAAAGACAGACTTATTGGAAAATTATGTTTTCTGCAGTGTTACCAGAATCAAGGTTCTGTTTATTCCCCATAAGACTTGCATTGAAAAATAAGATATTATATTTTGTTTGTATGTACTTAGTGTTTTGTATAATACCAGGAACTGCTAACTAAATTTACTCAACTTAGGGCATTAAATATCATGTACTTCATAGTTTGAGACTGTTCACTCAAATAGGGCAGAGTACTATTCTATCTAGATGTGTAAGTGTTTTTTTAAAATCACATGGAACGGTTTTTTTTATACTAAAAAGTGGAGGGAGATTTGTTTAAACAAGTATTTCTAAAAGAAATATGTACATAGTCCTGGAAATTATTTGTGGTAAGGAAATATTCTTTACTCCAGTTGCATTTCTCAGACAATAAAGTGGTGCGTCCATGCTACCTCCTACTTTGTCAACAAAGATGCTATTTACCCTTTACATTTTTGTATCATAATAGATTTAAAAATCTAATGTTCTTTATTGCAAGACATCCTTTTGTTAACAGATTTGTTTCTTTTTAATGTTTTACCTAAAATTTGACATGCTTACAGGACAGGTTTGCCTCTTACTTTATTTAACATTGTAGAAATGTAATTAATAAACAGTGCTCACTACACAATTTAGAATAGGCTTCCTCATTTATATTCTCTTCCAAATTTGATCAGTTAGCAAAACTTAATACACCAATTGAAATATTTCTACATATGATGAGAATGTTTACAATTTAAATTTTAGAACTTGTTTTGGATGTGATTATATGTACGAAAATCGTGTAACACTATGCTCATGCTAAGAACCGACATAACGGAATTACTGAAATAAATGTGCTGTGAGGAATGGAAAATATGGTGCAGATGTCTTGGTCATGATAAATTGTGATTCTTCTTTTAAACTCTTTCCAAAAACAAATTAGTTCTTTTAACCTGAAATCAGATTCCTTTACAAATAACAGTTTTTGTATGCAAGCACCATTTCATTTTATTTCATGTAGTATGGCTAATACTATAGTTGAACAAGGATATGCATTGATACTTTTCTTCGTGTGTAAATAAAGTTAAAAACAGTTAAAATAAGGAGTATTTTGGTAGAGTATATACATACCTCACTGCCAGTGAAATTGCTTTCCTATGGTATATCTCCTTACCAGAAAAATCTCTAAATAAAAAAAGATTTAAAGAAAATTATAATGTCTATATTGTGAAGCGTTTCTTATTTTTATCATTGGTGGAAATAGTCCACTTGAGGTTGTGTTTCATTTGATTTAAATTATTTATACTTAGCAGGTTACTTTATTCACATACCTTATATATGAAATTAGGAAGTCGGACTAGATGGATCATTCTCAACCAAGGGTCTCCTGATCCCTGGGGTACTAGATAAGGAAAAGGTATTGGTAAGTTATTTTCATTTTTTGAAAGATAATAATAGAAACTGTGTATTTCTCTATAAAGATGAGACTAAAACATCAAATTTATTTACTTTTGACTGAAAATATACCAAGTGTATGTATACTAGTTGTCTCTTATTGAGTAAATTTCATTAATGGTTATATATGAATATATGTTTTTTTGTGTGTGAGGAAGATTAGCTCTGAGCTAACATCTGTTGCCAATCCTCTTCTATGTTTTTGCTGAGAAAGATTGGCCCTGGGCTAACATCCATGCCCATCTTCCTCTACTTTATATGTGGGACACCTGCCACAGCATGGCTTGACAAGCGGTGCACAGGTCTGTGCCTGGGATCCGAACCTGTGAACCCTGGGCCGCCGAAGCGGAGTGGGGGAGCTTAACCACTACGCCACTGGGCCGGCCCCAGTGAGTATATTTTTTTAATGGAAGACATGCTACATCGCAAGTAGAGTTCAGAAGTAAAAAGAAGAGGATTCCTAGTGGGAAGACTAGCAATCACTAGAGCCCCTTTCAGCTCTAATTTTTATAGTTTTACGATTTTATTTTATTAAACCAACTATCAAGATGTAGGAATACAAGTAGAATAGGTACTTTGACTACAGATTTCATAAGCGAAGCTAGATTAAATTTTTTATGTTAAACTATATTTAAAACAATTATTTCTCCTTCTAGATGTAAAAAGAATTAAATCATCAAAATAGAATAATTCAAATTAGAAATGGTAAACTATAGGGATTCTTGAAAAGTAAATTAAACAAAGAACATTTTTCATAGTAAAGATATTTGGGTTACAAAATTTAAAAAATTCTTTAGGAAGCAAAGTTTTTCTTTTATTTGGCAACTAGGAAGTTAGTGATATATTTTCATTTGGCTTCCACTAGAAGAAAATTTTAAAATATTATCTCAAATTACATGGTAGGTTTTAAATGTGGCCTGATTCAGTATTCAGTATTGCCTAATTTTCTTTTAATTCCTTTATCATTGCCTAAGATATTTGAATTTCTTTAGTATTAGAGCTTTTTCTTTATCTTTTTTTAATCTGGTTAAAAGTGTGGGTTTAGCTGGGAGAAAATATTTGCAAAACATATATCTGACAAGGGGTTAATCTCCATAATATATAAAGAACTCACACAACTGAACAACAAAAAAACAAACAACCCAATCAAAAAATGGGGAGAGGAAATGAACAGACACTTCTCCAAAGAAGATATACAGATGACCAATAGGCACATGAAAAGATGTTCACCATCACTAATCATCAGGGAAATGCAAATCAAAACAACACTAAGATATCACCTCATACCCGTTAGAATTTGGGCTATAATCACCAAGACAAAAAACAACAAATGTTGGAGAGGATGTGGAAAAACAGGGACCCTCATACACAGTTGGTGGGAATGCAAACTGGTGCAGCCTCTATGCAAATGGTATGGAGATTCTTCAAAGAATTAAAAATAGAAATACCCTATGATCCAGCTATCCCACTACTGGGAATCTATCCAACGAACCTGAAATCAACAATCCAAAAAGGCTTATGCACCCCTATGTTCATTGCAGCATTATTCACTATAGCCAAGAAGTGGAAGCAACCTAAGTGTTGCTTCCAATCCTCGACTGATGATTGGATCAAGAAGATGTGGTATATATATATACAGTGGAATGCTACTCAGCCATAGAAAAAGACAAAGTCGTCTCATTTGCAACAACATGGATGGGCCTGGAGAGTATTATGTTAAGTGAAATAAGCCAGAAAGAGAAAGACAAACACCGTATGATCTCACTCATATGTGGAATATAAACCAACACATGGACAGAGAAAACTGTATTATGGTTACCAGGGGCAATGGGGGTAGGGGGTGGGCACAAGGGGTGAAGGGAGACATACATATAGTGATCGACAAACAAAAATGTACAACCCAAAATTTCACAATGTTACAAACTATTAAAACATCAATTTAAAAAAACTCTTGGAAAGAAGATGTGGTATATATACACAATGGAATACTACTCAGCCATAAGAAACGCTGAAATCCAGCCATTTGTGACAACGTGGATGGACATTGAGGGTATAATGCAAAGTGAAATAAGTCAGGGGGAGAAGGTCAAATACCATATGATTTCCTTCATTAAGTAGTAGATAATAACAACAATAAACAAACACATAGGGACAGAGATTGGATTGGTGGTTACCAGAGGGGAAGGGGGGAGGGAGGAGGGCAAAAGGGATAATTCGGCACATGTGTGTGGTGATGGGTTGTAATTAGTATTTTGGTGGTGAACATGATGTAATCCATGCAGAAATAGAGGTGCAATGATGTACACCTGAAATTTTTACAATGTTATAGACCAATGTTGCTGCAATAAACAAAAAATTAAAAAAAAAAAACAAAACTCTTGGTTTATTTAATCAAGACAAAAAAGTTAATTTCTCCAAAAGTAATATTTTTCACTATGCTTCTTTAGAATATATTAGAACTATGGCATAGTTAACATCTCTATTTTAGATTTCATATATTATGAGTTATAGAGATGATAGTTTTTCAGTAGTAATTTAACAGACAAACATAAGTTTTTAAGTTTAAGGTAACATACATGTTACCTCTCAGGAACTGTACAGTTAAAACATATTAGTCCAGAAAATAGCTTTGATTTTTTTTATCACTAAGAAAGTATAATATATGCTCATTTTAGAAATATTAGGAAAATGAAAAAGTGAAAAATGGAGAAAATCACCTGTGATATCATCACTCAAAGACATTTACTTTTAACAGTTTGTTACATTTCTTTCTCTTATTGTTTTGTATAGTTGTGATCATAATATATCTCATTTTCCCAAGTTAATTTTAAATTTGAGTAGGGCGTTGTATAGACTAATCTTTGAATACTAGATCTGGAGCATTTTCCATCATCAACAACCAATTCTCTGATTCTCCAGACACCAACTGGGTGTCCAGCAATTCAATTCAAGTCTGACATTAACTGCCTGGAGTTAGCGTCAGACTCCATGGATTAAAGGGCTCAGTCCCACAAGACTGCCCACACTTGAGATGCCAGTTGCAAGTGTCAGGTCACCCATACTTCTGACCAACCGGCTATAAATTGAGGATTCCCACACCCCCCTCCCCCTCAAGTTCAATAATTTGCTAGAACAGCTCACAGAACTCAGGAAAATACTTGACTTGGCCAGTTCATTATAAAGGATATAACTCAGGAACAGCCAAATGGTGGAGATGCACACAGCAAGGTATATGGGGAAGAGGGTGATGTGGAGCTTCCATGCCCTCTCTGTTGCGTCATCCTCTCAGCATCTTGATGTTCACCAACCAGGAAGCTTTCCGAACCCCATCAGTTAGAGGGTTATTATAGAGGCTTCATTATGTAGGCACAATTGATGAAATCATTGGCCATTGGTGATAAGCTCAATCTCGAGCTCTTTTCCCCGCCATGGAGGTCTAGCGGGTGATACGGCTGAAAGTTCCAATCATGCCTTGGTCTTTCTTGTGACCAGCTCCCATCGTGAAGCTGTCTAGGATGACTGACCATCCAGGCATCTCATTAGCATACAAGAGACATTCTTAATAACTCTGGAGATTTCCAGGGTTTTAGGAGGTGTGTGCCAGGGACAAAGACCAAATTTTTTTTTTTAATTATATCATACTAGATAGTTAACACTTGGATGTGACAAAAACCGGTCAGCATCAGTGATATTTCAAATCATGGACTAGACTCAGCATTCACCCCTGCTATAGAAGGTAGCTATCAAATTTATTTCAACAATGGGAACTTGTTTTCTTATTTTGAGGGCCATTCAAGTTCAGTTATTGATCTTCCATCAGTAGCCCATAACTTTAATTTCTTGGTCCTCTATCCTACATTATAGACATAGACATAACCTTGGTTTTTCTTGATTACAAATAATTGATAACAAATAATTGAATAATATTTTTAATTGTTTAGGTAAACAACAGTAATAATAAGTAAAACTTACAGAATTGGTTTTTCATAGTTCAGGCTTCTTACATTAGGCCAGAAGTCAAAATGAACAAAGAGTAGATATAATCTAATAAATTACTGGGGTTTTCCCCTGTTATTAAAATTTTAGACAAGAAAAAGAAAAAAATGAATGGAATTCTGTCACATTAGAAATTTGTCATATATTCATTCTGGTATTGTTTTTCTGTTCATAGACTTTTCCTTTTTAAAAAACATGAGATCATGTTATGTAGAAATTGCCCCTTTATTTTCTTTAAAGAGTAGATCCATGAGCATTTTCACGCCACTAAATATTATTCTTATATATACCTTAAATTTTTGCATAATGTTCCATTGTCCTGCACATTATTTACGCCCCCATTGTTGATCATTTTTTATTGTCTCCAGGATTTTGGTATTATAAAGAATGCTTTTGATGAACATTCTTATAGTAAATTGTGCA